GAAGGGTAACCCTGGTGCTGTGGAGCGGTAGTTGAAGTCAAAAATAACTCGATACCTATTTTCTATGTCGTCTTGTCTACTTGTTGTGTCGTCGAGATCAGGTAATGCCGAGAGTTGGCAGTTACGTCTGACGTCAGGCCTTGTACAACTGACCTCTCGAAGTCACAAGAAAATTTTGAACACTAAAGTGGTAGATGGAGGAAACCGGCTTGTAGTGATCTAGTATTCAATTCAAAACTGAACTGAGTATACTAGTTACACTCAATTTCGTCGTGTTGTGCGATTTTCAACGATTGTCTCGATAACAGATAAGGTGTGATTAAAAAACGAATGTAATTAAACTTCAGCCTTGTGTGGTATATTGACTGGGTAACAAGGTAACAAGGTAACAGGGTAACAGGGCAACAAGGTACCAAGCAAAAAAGGGAAGGTATAACTTATGCATGTAAAGTCGGTACAAGAGTAACAGAGTTACAGATCGAGTTTCAGAGTAACGAGGTATCATAGTAACAAGGGAACGGAATAACAAGGTAACAGAGTAACAAGGTAACAAGGTAACAGGGTAACAGAGCAACAAGGTACAAAGCAAAAAAGGGAAGGTATAACTTATGCAAGTAAAGTCGGTACAACATATGTCCCCATTCATCAAGTACCTGCCAAGTGTGTAGCGCAGTCGACGAAAGGAAGACCCGACGACACGACGACGTAAAAATGACGCAACGACGGCATAAGCCCCGCGACGCTACACGGAAGAAAATCCAGCGGTGCCCCGAAGAAAACAGTACGATGAAACGAGGCATGCGACGACTCGAAGACGTGGAACTGACGCCACAAAAACAACAGACAATGACTCGAAGAACAGTTTTCGAAGCGAAGAAGTGTTTTTGTCCCCGATCTGACGCTTTAAAGGAAGGTCTCGTCCCTCCAGGCGTTGGGAGTCGTAGTGCCCACCCGTTCATCCCATAATAAAAGTAACTGATTACAGAAACCAAGGCTTCCACGTACAGAAATGAAATCTTGGTCTTTTGAGTTTAGTAAACAGCGGCAAAAGCGTTTTGGAAAATAACCCAGAAATAGTGAAAAGCGACAACAAGCGTCTTAAAAAATAACGTAGAAACAGTACTGAAGCACTGTTTGACTGAACTACAGTGCTGAAACCAACAAAGGTGTTTGTTTTAGCATGTTTAGCACTGTTTTGAGTTTTTTTAGGCATTTTTGCTGAAGCACGATCATTCTTTTAAATCTACTTCCTTAAACAATAGAGAACTTGAGCTGGTTCACGTTCTCCTGCATTGAAATAGTAACTGCAACAGACAGGAAAGCGATTGGCAGAACTTAAGGTCAAACTTCAGAGCGCAGCGTCACTGTCTCAAACGAGTCACGAGTGCTTAATTTTCCAGGATATCAATGTTCGTGCCCGTTACTCATGGGCCAACTGCAGGGTTTTTTCATTATAGGGAGGCTTTACGCCAGTGTCTTATTGGTAAATGGGATCATGCCTCCTTCCCCTTTCTACGCGCCGTAATATAAAGATTCATTCAGGAAAGGCGATATTCTGGTTTTGCTCTCCATCAACTGGGTTCTGTTACTTGATGGTTCCTCTTGTAACAGTCTCTAGTGATACAAAAAACACTTAAACCTTGACCTTAAAAGGTTGAAGTGTTTTTAATTTTGTAAACAGGACGTAATTTAGCAAATCGAAAAAATGTGATGTGTACAGCGTCAACTTAGATTTTGTGAGCAAAATAATGATGGTGTTTACAACTTGACGATAACAAACAAGTTACCAAAACAAGAAAGACACAATAAATTTTAGCCTGCGTTGCTGGCGCAAAAAAGGGAAGTGGATGGAGAGAAAAGCGCGAAAGTACAAAGTACGGAACCCAGTTAGAGCCAACTAATTTCTCATCAATTTTCTATATCATCTCGTCGGTTTCTTTTACTGCCGACTCCAACTTTTGCTGTCACCACTTTTTTGTCACGACTCTTTCGGCACGACTATTTCCGGCACGACGTTTTTCTGACGACTTTCAGTTTTTACTGACTTCGATTCCCTTCCCTTCCAATCATCCTCCATCTTCTATCCTCGCTCCTGGTTTTCCAGTAAACCTCGATTCACAAAATGCAAGAATTTTGCTTGTGATCTTATCTTTAGAATAATGAACAAATTCTTCCGTGTTTGGGGGAAGCAACATCGGATCAGATTGGTGAACAAAGTTTGGGTTGCAAAGATTTTATATTTTCGCAGAAATAGTAATAGTATAATATTTATCCGTGGGTATTGTTATTCATGACATTATAATAAGGTATGGGGAATCAATCTGACCTGGAACAAGCCCAAGACAGACTGAATTGAGTATAGGTAATCTGGAACCCAACTTACTCCCGGGGGAGCTGGGTGGGTCGCCAATCGCCCTTTGTGTCGGACAAAGTGAAGTGAATGGGACAATGCATGCCAGTGTTTCCTATTATATATACTCATTTGCATATCAATAATTAATCCCCAGCAGGGATGATATTTACAATTCAGATGGAACGTGAATAGTTCATTTATGTAGACGGTGAACCTCTCTGATTACTGATGTACCAGTAGTTTGAAGTACCGAAATGCCGAGTTTCGATCATCTCAAAGATGTTTATATCATTTTCGTTCAGCAAATGCGATATAAAAACTGGCATAAAAAAGATTACACTAGTAGAAAAACCCCGGAGAAAAACACACTAATCATTTCGAACAAACTTTGAAACTTTATAGGTTCGACCCCCGGGAGGTTCGAAGCGAAAATAAATTACCTGCACGATTTCTGTTCTAGGCCGTTAATCTGAATTCTGGGCATAAAAAGATAAGCGTCTTGTTTTAGATAAAAAAGCAGATAAAAGCGTAAATCTGAGCAGAAATTAGGCACAACTTACATATTTCGCTTCTCTCTCACTTAAAACAGGTGAATTGAAAACTTTTTTACGAAAAGACGAGATTCTAGAATTAACGAGACGGCAAAATGCGAGCAAAATGTTCTCCGTAGTGGCGACTACGCGAAACAACTCAACAACTCACCGTATCCGCAAGAGTACGCCGGAAAAATGATCAGTCACGTGGTTCTGATCATGCGTACTATCATGTTTAACCGTCGTAGTCCGTAGTCATTCTATCTTACAGTTCCTAATAAGCCGCATGCTCATCACAAGACTCATATGCATACAATGAAAGTCGTCACGATTCTTACCCCCAGTTTCCACGGTCTCCGTTAAGAAAGCCTTGAAGCATGCCTTCCTTTTTGCAACGGACCGACGGAAAAAAAAAAGCTTGCTTTTTTAGAGCCTCGCTCTGCTAAAGCAAGCTCGACTAATAAATGTTTGTGTCACTGATAAAACAAAACGCTTCAAAAACTCATGCCGGAAAAAGTCGTACCGATAAAAGTCGTGCCCAAAAATTAAAGTCATGCCGAAGAAAGTCGTGCCGGAAAAAGTCGCGCCAAAAAAGTCAGGCGAGAAAAATCGTGCCCAAAAAAGGCGTGCCGGAAAAAGTTGGAGTCGGCCGTAAAAGAACCTGACGTGGTAGGAAAAAACTTTATGAAAAAATTAGATGGCACTAACTGGGTTCCGTACTACTAAAGGGAGACGCAATCACCAATTCCCAATACCCTCTTCCCTTTCGACGCCTGCCACGCAGGCTAAGAAATCCAAACGGTCTTGGCTATGCCTATCGCAAGATTCAAATTTGAGCTTTATTTGTTTTACAGTGATCCAAGATAGATTATTCTCTCTTAAGTAATATGAGTCCAATGAGCAAGCTTCAGCAAAAATATCTTCCGGTGAAAAAACGTCAAAACAATCCACGTGCTGAAACAAAAAGCCGGGATATATCCGCCGTTCGCCACCCATGACAAGACTCTTCGAAGGGTATAAATATCCTGTAATTTGAAGTAAACGCAAGCTTAAAAAAGTCAGTCATCAAGCTCGTAAAGAGATCTGATCCTCTCTTTTATCGGGTGAAAGAATTCGTCTTTGGGTGATATTCAAGAACCAAAATGGTAAGCGGAGTTTATTTTAGTATTCGTCATTGTCTTTACAGATGATTTTAGCAGGAACCCTGACTATGCGTGCAAACTACAATTTAAAGAAAAATGTTGGTTTGAGCTTCAGGTGAATTAAAAGAAACGTAACTCCGAAGGCGTAACTGAGTGTAAACCAATTAAGCACGGGCTTAAAATATTTTTTCCGTGTTTTCTTTTTTCGAATGCCCAAATTGAAAAAAGAAAGTCACAATCTTTTTTTGTGTGTTTTCATATTCCAAATGTTTGCCGAGAGTGTCGATCATCGATGGCATGAAGCTCCTCAAGACAGAGCCCTGCTGCGCTCTTGCACACTAGTTTTTCATTTAAAGTGCAGTAAAACAGTATAGACAGATGTCACAAGACTGCGCACGGGCAGACAAGCTACGCCGAGTCTCGCCCCAGTCTTGACTGTAGTAACTGTCTTTGTGCCAATGTCTACTATGTGAGCAGAGAGGCTCTCTGGGTTCGCGTTTCTACATGCGCACAGCGACACGAGCATCGACACAGACAAGGTGGTCCAGGAGTTCTGCGCCAGGAAACCCCGCAGATTGGCATTTGAATTCTGAACACCTGTACACAAACCTTCCTTCGGCCTTACATTTTAGAATGCCACTCTGAAACAGCTTCGTCTTTGCGTTATTCATATTGAATAGAAGTAGGAAAATACAACATTTACGTAAACTGATTGTAACTTGGAGGTACAACTAAAGTTACTTTACCGCCTGTAAAACCCGGCACCTTTACCGGTGTGAATTAATAAGCGTATACTGATCAGCAACATTCTGGTGGCGGGCTTAAAGCTGGAAAATGCCCGGGCACGCCCTGAACTCAGAATTACTAGATAATTACTTTCAATTAGTTATCACCCCATGCGTTTGGTATATACGAAAAGTAGACAAATTACTTTATGGATGCATGCCGTTGTTGTTGTCTCTTTCTTTCTAGGTATTCAAACTGTTGATTTTGTGCATTGGTCTTTTTTCTCTGACCGTTTCGGCTTCCTCTTTGAGCAAACGTGGCCTTGAGGAAAAGGTAAGCCGTGTAAAATTTCCCCCTAGGACTTAACAATCACTAATGACTGAAAAGCCTATAGAATGAATACCCCCTTAAAGCTTGAATCATGTTAAAGGGGGTCTTTACATCGTTTTGACGTCGAAAAGTTAAAATACATGTGAAATGTACCACATTAGAAAAAACTAGTTCTCTGACGTCATCAGGCAGTAGCCGAAAACTGTGACGTAACGGCATATAGTATGTAACACAAAAATCAAGTGTTAGTACTTTTAAAGTTTCACGACTGAAACTAAAGTAAGTGTTTTTGAACATTGAATTGGTTAGTCTGTAGCTAATTAACAAAATATCGTTCAGATGTTTAAGATTGGCGATAGTGAGTTACGTGAAAGTAAATCATAAAATTATATGCTATTCCTAGCAGGATTCCACTGCCAAATACACGATAAGGATGTCTGTAAATGGAACAGAATTCGACGAAGAGGTAGAGGTCGATAAAGAAAAGGAGACAGAAACTTTCCACATGCCAAAGATTTCATCGGATAACGCCGCGGGAGACGTAATCTACGATTTCAAGAGGGTAAGGGAACAAAATAAGGCTCTAACGATGGCATAACCTCACAGATATGAAATAAGGCTAGGCTGGGTATAGAACTAATGGTTATACAGTGTGGCTGATGATTAAATTACTTAACTTTCTAGACAACTCTTCTGGCGCAGCTCAGTTCATATTTTTACTCGGCTTGGGCTAACCATCTAAATGGGTTTGCTTCGATTGACTGTCCGTACAGCGAAAACATCTGGTCAGTTTATTTCTTAGCACTACAAGTGTATTCACTTTTTTAATATGAACTGAAGTGTGGAATAGAATACTAGAAAGTGGAATAGAAAAGTGCTGATATGCGATGAAGAACAATTTAATAATTGTGGGCCCAAAACAGCTTCTGTCATTTGTAATTGTTTCGTAATTGTAATTATGCAAGAAAAGCTGGAATGGGATCTAAAAATTGAAGTAGCTTTTTTTGTGATAATTTGCCGCAGAATTTGACCATGTTCCGAGTGACAGAAGCAAAAGCTTGCTATTTAAGAAAATCGACTCGTGATGCTCGCAAGCCAGCCGACCTACAGCAACTTCTAGAAGTGGTAAGTACATCGTACATGAAGCTGTATATTCATAATTCCGGTAAATTCCTTGTTTAGAATTCAGAACAAAAGCATGGAATGAAATGCCTTTAACACTAAGAAAATCAGTTGCCCAAAATGCATGTAAAGGGAATGTAAACCAAACTTACTTTGGCAGACTCTTATTTTGGCTGTGAAGGAATCAATCAAAAAGTCAAGTTTTTGGTCCTTCCCCCACCCCTCGGATAATTGGCAGCAGCTATCTCAGGTGCTCTTGTAAACTTTGGTAGAATTAATGTCTAACGTGGCTAATAACATTACTTCGATCAGAATGTTTTACTTAGCTTGCGGAGCAAGCGTTTCCGTGTGGTTTCGGAGCAAAGAAAGACTACCGAGGAACGACGAGGAACGGGATTTTCAGAGCGGCATTTGACTCTCGTTCCTCTTTCTTTGCTCGGAAACCGCACGGAAACGCTTTGCTACCCAGGCTATCGTTTACTTTACTGTACATGCTTGTATGGTTTCTTCCATGAAGCACGACCCCATAAATTAGCACAAGATTCGAGGGCATGTCAAAATTATAAAGTTACTCAAGAGGCCCACATAGCCATCCTCGGAGACCCAGGGGCAGTTAGTCGGGTCGATAAAATGTTCGTGGCGAAAGTTTACTGTAAGGTCGAGATCGTCTCGACCTTACTCGGCCCCCTCTACTCCTACGGGCCTTGATCACCTACAAAACGGTTGATTCTCAATTTTCTTTGTCTTCTAGCCGTGGAACACAAAGGAAATTGAGAATCAACCTAGGTTAAATCTATGACATCTTCAGAATGCTATGGTACAATGTTTTTCCACGTTATTGACGGAGGAGTTTAGAGCTTCCTTGAATTTATGAAAATTCATAATTAAAGTCAACCGAACATAAAAGTAGTTATGTTAAAGTAGCTCTTAATCCGGCCTTTCCGTAGATTTTATTTTAGACTTTGCAAAATTGGCAAATCATCAAATAGTAGCATTGATTGGTTCTTTTAATCAGATAACGTGCATATTCAGCAATTAATGTTTGTTGTTGTAATGAACCGTTTAAATAGGCAACTCACAATGGTGTAATAGTAGTACCTCAAACAGAAGTCAAACTAAAAGTTGTCTCCACCATCGACGACCGTTCTGATCTGAGTGATGAAATGGCAAATCTATGTGCAAACCTCCCTATTCACGAGGTGGATGAAGGAGAATTAGACCTGACTCACCTGAACCAAAATACCAGAGTGGCACGAAGGCCCGCTAATCGTAAGTAATTTAGAACACTTGCGATCTTCAACCATATATGTCTTAACTGAGGCACTGATGTTTTTTTTTTGCTTGTTTCTTATTAACATTTCAACAATGTTTGCAAACCGCCGTTTCGAGACAAATTTCGAGACCTAATCACTTGTTTAAATTTTAACGATTATTAAATGAAGATAATTTTTCTTCTGAAGTGTATGCGTAGTAAGCCACCTTATATTACCATCAATCTTCAGATAACATAGTCTGCTACACAGCCGTTTTTAGTGTCGTCACGCAACGCTCCTCCTCACTAGTGGGGAGGAGCGTTGCGTGACGACACTAAAAACGGCTGTGTAGCAGATAACATAGCCTTTCCAATGTTTCTCTCCTAGGTGTGAGACGTGGTTTATGTGAATGGGTCTGTAATGCTATTTGCAGCCTTGTATGCAATTTGGTTTGCGACCCCCATGGATGCAACGAAGTTTGCTCGCCAGCGTGCGACACTGTGTGCGAGTTAATTTGCTGAACTAGACTGAGAGAGCTACATCAAGCAAAGTACAGAAAGTAGCATGGTTCCTGCCATAAAACGGCTAACCCATTATAAATTATATGCATGCATGATAATCAAGATTGGCAAGTTATGTTCAAATAGCGCTTCAGTAAACATTTTTATTAAAGGAACTCTTTTGAAAACTTAACAGTTGAAATATTAATAAATTCACTTGATTTAATAGAGACATGTTGGAGCCTCTGATTATTTTTACCGGTTATTTTGTAGCATATTTAAAAAGCTGGAGGGAATTATCGTCAGCTTACCGTTTAATCTTTGTGATAGTAGTAAACAGCTATTTCGAGAAAGGTTGTCGGAAAAAATGTGCACGCGACAATCCCGAAAGGTAATACGGGATACGATCAATCCACTGTTCCTGACACTGTAGCTTTCGCACCTACTTTTGTTACTTTTCTTTAGCACTCGGAAACATGTATCCATGGCCTCTCGTGCCATTCTCTCAAATTTCTTTGAAGAACAGTGAACTCAAAACCATCCACAATACCTTTCGGGATTGTCGAGTGCACTTTTTTCGACAACCTTTCTCGAAATAGCTGTATGTAATTGTGCAGACAGAGCAAAGGGAGTAGAGGAACATTTGCGAAGGTATCGTAGAATATGGAGAGTGCTTGAATGTACTGAAGACCTTTCAGGAAATTAAATCCCCTGAAAACGATGGTTTTACTGTCGTGTTTTACCTTGTTTAGAGGGCTTTTGGTTGACAGTCTGAACTATGCCTTCGCCGGTGGTACGCTTAGTCCAACTTAATTTACTTTACGGCCTGTAAAACCCGGCACCTTTACCGGTGTAAATTGGTAAGCGTATACTGATCAGCCGAAATGCTACCAGAAGTTCTTGATATTCCGGTTTATTCTGTCAGTGTCACTCCTTTTAATTTTTTAAGTTAAACCCAAAATATTTCTGAACCAAAAAAGCCAATGATTTTCTTGTTTCAGCAACAACAGCAACGCAAAGTGAGATGATTAATTTATTACCCATGTCATTTGTAATAAGAGGGCAATTTACCACTGATGAAAGGCCAAGTCCTAGGGAAACGAGTTACCTTTATCTCAAAGTTCGTTATAAGGTTAGCTGTTAGCTCGTTTGTATAACCAGTATTTATTCGCTTATCATTATTAATACTATCCTATTTAGCACTACAGTCAGTTGCAGGAGATCAACTGCGCTTTGCTTTACTCTGGAAGCAATGATAAACAGCAGGAGCCCATAAGACGGAGCGAGCAACTTCCATGTACTAGTTTATTTTTAGAACGATTTCGGCGCCAATTTAGAATCATTTGTCCCTTTTAAATCACACAAACCAGGCAGCAAAACCTACGGACCTAACAATGATATTTTTGACCTTTTCGAGGCGTTTAGTTTTCCCTTTTGATATCATATACTTCGAATGCGCTCATAGGCGGATCGGAGACTCCATTTTCGCGGGAAAAAAGTTCTCTAAAATGGTCTAAAAATAAACCGGTCCTTGAAAACCCCGTGACATACTAGGCCTAGTATGGGAGTCAACTCGCTCCGGAAATAGCTGGTGGAAAGTTTGTTACTCCGTACGCAGAGTTAACGTAACTGCGACCCTAATCGTCTCTTCAGCCATCGAGGTGGATCAGCTCTGCTCTGCTTGCTTTGCTCTTAAGGTGGAAAAACGCCGTGTTTTGCGGCCGAGTCAGCTGGTCCTGGGGGAGGGGGGAGCGGGGGATGGGGACTCGCAAGAGAGGATAAAGCTCTCTTGGGACTCATTAATAGTTTTTTGCTTAAAATTAAGCCACTGCATGCAATGGCAGCATGGCAGGAACTGTGAGTTTGAGCTTGGGCTGTTCTACAGGTGCAACTTTTAGTTTGACTGTCTTTTTCTTTCATTTGAAAATACAATCGTAGCTTCAGCATGACAGAAATACTGACTTGATCTTGGGTTGTATTAATCGTTCTCACTAATATTTATTAATAGCTTTTCTTAAAACTGAACAAGAAAAAATATCTTGCCAAATTTAGTCTAAGTTGACATACTGGGCTTTTTAGTACTTACAATAGAATCAAACTCACAATATATTGTTAACTCGTCCATCGACCAACTTACATGTTCACCCCGAATCACGTCCTCTCGGTCATTTATAGTCCTTGACCCACATTAGCTTCCTTTCTACCTCGGGTTTCGCTGGTCGATGCAGTTTGGATGAAACAATAGCTATTTATTATTTTAGTTTAGTGTTAGTAAACAGAAACTCCAGCCTTAAATTTCGGGTTCTAAATATAAAATCTGCGAGAGGTAAAGTGAATGAGACGACAATAACGACAATCAAACCGATGCTAATCTGATTTTCTAGAACATTGTACACACGAAGGCCGACCAGTTTAATAAATTAAATCATGGTTTGGTGGATATTATCTGCCGAGCACTGGATCACACAATATCGGTCCCATTAAGATAAAGACGGATTTGTGAGGAATTGCCGTACGTTTGAGCTCAAGTTGTTTTTCTGCTGCAACTGTGGGATTGAATTATGAGTCCATTTAACCCTTTGAAAAAAAAGAAGAAAAACACGTATTACTAAGTAGCTTCAGCGGAACAGATGTTAAACTGAATGTTTTTATGCAGCCGGAATCAGAAACTAATGAGCTTGTGGGGGGTACGTGACGTTTGCTACGTGACTACATCTGATACGGACCAAAAGTATAGACGGAAGTCGATCGTAGTTGGAATCTAGATCTCACTGTTTTGGGGTAGTCAAGTCCTGGGGGCTGGGGTAACAAAATCACTGCACGGCCGGAACTGCTGTAAGTTTGAGCTTGGGCTGATTTACTGAGCAACTTTTGGATCGACTTCTGATTTTTCAATTCAAAATTAAGAAATGAGAATGAAGAATGACTGAGGCGAGTTGAAGGCTTCAGCGCAAAGGAAGCAGTGATAAACAGTCAATTAAGCGGGAAAAAAGCTTAATATGGGTCAACGTTTCAGCAAATATGCAGCGTCTATATTCCGCCTAACGGCTCAAAATACTTTCTCCCTGAAATGTTTGAAGATCTTGAAAACGACATTGAAACTTTTTACTCTCAAGGATCGATTCTTCTCATGGGTGACTTTAATTCTAGAACAGGAAAATATTCGGATTGTGTAAGCCAAGAAGGAAACACCATTATTACCAATGATCAGTCCCATCTTTCTTCAGGCTCCACTCATAGAAATAGTTTTGACAACAACATTAACAATCACGGCAAACGCCTTCTTGAAATCTGCAGAAGCGCAGATCTTAGAATACTTAACGGTAGAGTTAGTGGAGACTCCTTAGGAAGAGCCACATTTCATGGAAAGGCTGGAATAAGTGTCGTTGATTATGCCATATGTGATCAAACGTTATTTTCACACATACTAAACTTTATTGTTAAAGAGCCCACGTATTTATCGGATCATAGTCCACTGGTGACCTGGTTATGCACTGACACCGATATTCGTAATCAAGATCCTTCACCAGAGAGTGATACTTTAACACGATTACCAAAACAATTTACGTGGGAAAGTGACTCTACACCAAAATTCAAAGCAGCTCTTCAGTCTCCAAATTTGCAAATGATAATTCACGAATATTTAAATGACATCAATTCAGCTAAAAATGTTAACACCTCCGCGGAACAGGTAGAAAATATTCTTATCACAACGGCAAAACGATGCCTTAAGATAAGAACGACGAGACGACGTAAACGCACCTATTCACGCTCAAATAAAAATGGTTTGATAAGGAATGTCGCTTAAAAAGACACGAATTAAGGAAATTGTCAAATGAAAAACACAGAGATCCCTTAAATACCACTCTACGTGAAAAATATCATATTGTTTTACAGCAGTATAAGAAACTACTCGCACATAAAAAAAAATGAATATTACAACAATAAACTCTCAGAATTAGAGGATACAACGTACAATTTGGATACTAAAAATTTTGGAATTGCTTAAAATCAATGGATGACACTATAAAATACAAAGACACTCCACCAATTGCAGAAGAGAATTGGATGAATTATTTCCAGTGTCTACATTCTAATAAGCCACTTACTTCTGAGCAACAGAAAGTTGTCAATGAGTTAAGAACACGAGAAGACGTCTTAATGCAATCACGACCTCTAGATTACTTCATAACAGAAGCTGAAATAAGCAAGGCAGCAAGAAAATTAAAGAATAAAAAATCTGCATACTCCGACAAAATAAGAAACGAAATGATTAAAGCTAGCTTACCAACACTGCTACCTGTTTACCATAAACTTTTTAATACTGTTCTTAACTTAGGAACAGTGCCTAAAAATTGGTGCAACGGTCTTATAACTCCCATATTTAAATCTGGCATAAGAAATGACCCATCAAATTACCGCGGGATTTGTGTTTCTAGTTGTCTAGGAAAGTCGTTCTTTTCAATTTTAAACCAAAGACTTCTTGAACACGTCACTTCGCTGAACATACTCCATAAGTCTCAA